CTATGGCTACATATTTCATGGATCAGGTTTCTTTATTTTCAAATCAACCAAAACACAATAGCACTTAATTTTTTATTCCCACAGACTGACTTCATAATGGAATAATTCAATGTTGCATGTGGTCAGATATTACACTACAAGCATGAGTAGTGTCAAAAATATTGCTTCCCCAAGCAGCAACACTTGTATCTAGTTTTAATCAGGGTCATACACCACCTACTGCTCTGATATACATATGCATATGAATTACAGATACAATTATATGAATTACAGGTGAAATTGTCAGCATATTCCCTGTAGCTTTTATGGTCTCCCTCCTGAATGATGTCCCACTTCTTTCCACTTCTTTTCTTTTTAAACATCCTCTATATTCTCTCTTCAGCTCATATTGTTCTTATTTTTCACCGCTTTCCTAGGTTTTTCCTTGCACATGATCATTTGTGATCATAGTATTATTATTCAGGCACTGTGGTTTTGACCTTTCACCTTCATTTGTTGCTTGTTAACAGCTATGCATGTTATATAGTAGGTTGATATACTAAAGGTTTTATCATGTGACAAGTAACGTCCAGTATCTGTATGTGTATTCTAGCCAGGTATCATAGAGAGCCTCCTTATGGCCACCCACCAGCGTCCCTGGCTCTGGGGTGTCTATGTCTTCACTGTTGGACTTCCCATCATTCTCTTCATTAGCTTCATGTGGCCTGACGTGGTAGAGTATTTCTGCTTATGCATGTGTGTGTGTTATTGTTTAGCTTTAGAACTATAAGAAGTTTAATGTGTCAGTGTGATTTAGTTCTCTAGAGACAAATAGTGTAGCTATAGTACAAGAAGTCATAGTGTGTGTGTGTGTGTGTGTGTGTGTGTGTGTGTGTGTGTGTGTGTGTTTCCATACAGAGGTTTGGGCCCCCTGATCAACAGTATTACTACAAGAAGTCTGATGATGCTCAGCCAGATGACCCTGAGTTCTCACAGCGGACAGAGGCAGTGGATATAAAAGGTAACTTTTTATTTTTTGATTATTAAAAGTAACAGAGGAGCTACAGTACTATTTGAGTAGTTGTTGTACTCCAGGTGATAGTTATGTTTTCCAATCTCTTCAGGAAAGGCTGACAGAGCTGCAACAAGGAGGAGAGACACTCATGGTAAACAGATGAAATCTGACTTAGACCTGAAGGTGAGATTCAACACATAATGTGAAGGTGATAAAGGCTGACTGGTAACACACACTACATCTGGGCAGGGCTAGTGTTTGCCAAGTTTAGCTCAAATGTCATCAATCCTTTAAGCATTATCCATTTAAGTTTCCAAATATTGTGTTAAAATCAGGAATCTAACTAAAAACCTATTTTAAAAAAATCCATTGACTTTGAGACAGGAGAACAGCAAGTACAGAAATGCTACATGTTCTGTTTGTGTTTTAACAGCTGCGTCACTATGAGCAACTGTGACACATTCGCCTCGGTCTCCAGTATACACGGTCACTCATTTACCTGAACCATCTGTTTGTCTAAAAAGGTTATGATCCAGTAGGAATGTAGTAGAACCTGAGTCTAAAAGATGACTGGTGGAATATCAATTCTGACAACCAAACACGCAACAATCAGACAATATAATGCTGGCAACAGTCTTAATTCAATATTTAAAGCTTACTTACTCATCTGGATGGCTGGGGCAAAATGCCACTTATGTTCAAACCTGTTATTTGCAAAGTTCATTCTTGTCCCTGAAACTGTGGTTAACAAAAACTAATTGTGTGCATTTGTGTGTGTGTGTGTGTGTGTGTGTGTGTGTTTGTGCAGGATCATTGATCAGTGTGACGACCTCAGGAGTGGAAAGCACCACTACAGTCAAGAAGACGCTGAGCAATCACATCTTTGGCCAGTCTAACTGATGACTGGATGAAACTACACAGTGTGAACACAGCGTCTGAGGACTGACAAATAGGCAAATCTTTTATTTCCAAGTATTATCATATGTTTTTAAGTATTTTTCAATGTTCCCATTGATTGTATTATTCTTAGTGCGCAAACACTGCCAAACAAAATACAAAATATGTTCTACCTCTGCTTCTAAGAGTATTACATTTGCAGTTGGAATAAAGGATTTGAACTCCCCAGCTTGTTTAAGGCTAGAGAATCTTTGTTGTTGTTTTGTTTTCTCATTAATGCTATCAGGCTCTAATAGTTACATCCACACATACACAACATACTACAGCTGTTCATTATTTAACTAAGATTTGCTAGATTGTACTGGATTGTCCTTTATCTCATGATCCTCATTATCATTAGGCATATAATAACAACTTGTGGTCAGGCACAGGCCTCCAGGAACTGCGCCATGCTTTGAAGCCAGTTTTAGTGGTCAAGCAGTGGAATTACATCCATCACGTGATGCAATTGGAACCAAAAATACTTATACTGTGAGAAAATGTAACACAAAATGATTAGTTTTACTTTAAGAATTTGAGCAATTCTGTCCAATAACATTTGGAAAGTGCAGAAGAGCCACACAGTTATATAATTTCATGCCCATTCAAGTTAGCAGCATGCTAAACCAGAAGTACTCAGCTCGGCTGCTGGAAGTCTTTAGTACGCCTGGTCTATGGGCCCAATAATGTGGAAGCTGCACCAATCATCCAGGTAATTTTATACGTGGTGGTTAAAGGTTTTTGGCTTTGTGTGCCACTGAATTTTATGAATGAACAGGGTCCCGCCTCCAAAGCTGTATTAAGGTCTCCTTATTCATTCATGGTTAGGTTCCTCTTACTTCCAGTTGAAGTTCCACTCACATCGCGCTTAAATCCTGCTCATTCCAAACACAAATACAGAAACAGATACAGATACAGATACAGAAACAGAAACAGATACAGATATAGATACTGGTGTACTTGCTCATCCCCAGGCCTGTGGATTTGGAGGTTTTCCTGGTATAATTGAAATGACCCATCTAGATTTACTGTTGAAGCCAAACATAGTTTTAATATTTTGTGAAAGAAATAGACATAATTTGAATTAGGCTTACGTGCATCCTTGCCAAACGTTAATAACATAATCCAACACTCTCTAAGTCTGTACAGTAATCATAAAGCTACCACCAACACCTGCTTAGCTTAGCATTGCATCAGTGTTGGGCTCATTTCTTCAACAATGTATAATTTTACTCATTACTCTTTTCAAAAGTAATAATATTACTTTACTTATTACTCCCTGCCAGCAGTAATTTGTCACAATACTTGTTGTATTACTTTTCTGTTACACCCCATAAAATTGGTAGTAAGTAACCTGTAGCTAAGGCTAGATAGCTTGCAAACATTTTTTTACCTGGGGTTTTCTGTTGTCTGTGTCAGTACTTTCCAACTCATGGGGCAACATGTCATCCACCACATATCCAACCACAAGCTTCATCACTTCTTTGTAGCCTGCAACTGTTTATGATTAAAATGCAGTTTTAGTTGTTTAGCCAGTGTCGGGCTACAGCTGACTTCCACAGCCAAAGAGGGCTCATCTTTAGTGTGGTGTATTTCCTGGAGCTTCACGTTATTGTGCTGTCGGTTGTAGTAGCTCAAGTGTTTCAGGCCGGAGGTTTGAGGATGTGTTTATGACAGTGGAAAGAGTTTTAGTCCAACTACCTGCAGCAGCTTAAGGTTAAGTGTTTCCAACTAGCTTGCTGCTTTGTGACATGCCTAGGAAGTGCACCAATTAAAAAAACGAGTATGCTGATGTAATTGTTGTATGTCAAGTCAGTAGTGATTGTAATGACTGTAAAATTATTACAGAAATTTTACTAGTAATTAGCTACACTACTCGTTACTGGAAAAACTGTTACTAGTCACGCATCACTGTTCAACACTGCATAGCACAAAGACTGGAAATAGCTAGACTGTAACAAAATCCACCCAATAGAACCTTTAAGACTCACTTTTGTAATTAACATCTGAACTAAAGAAACATGCAGGATTATCTCAACTGGGAGCAGCTGCATTCTCAAGTCATTGCCTTTATACTATGCTAAGCTAACCAGCTGCTGACTGTAGCTGCCATAGATGAATAAAGAGAAATGGATACAGCTTTGGAGGCGGGGAATATCTTAGGGAATGTTCACTGCTGCAATAATCGCACAGTGATGCATGAAGCCAAAAATGTTGGACTTCTCAGGTGTAAAATTACCCACATCTTCCATACTGCGAGGCCCATAGAAGAAGTGCACGAGAGACTTTCGCCAACTGGCTAGCCTCCTGTTTAGCTCTCCGCCAATCTGAATGGGGATAAAAGGATTTAACTGTGAGGCTGTTACAGACTTTTGAAATGTTATCAGACTGAATAAATCAAATCACAACAGTGAAATGAGTCATTTAGTGATGGTAGTAAAATTAATAAAATAAGAAGGATCCACTGACATCTCTTTCCCAATGTAACGGAAAAGTGTTTTTGGGTCTATTTTAACCTTGCACACAGGAGAATGGTATCAATTTTCTTATCTAACTCTTGGCAAGAAAGAGACAGAGCCTATTTTCCAAAACAGCTGCTTTGTGTGAAGCAAATAACAAAACCTTGTCTCCTTTTTTGGGCAAAACACACATCTTTTCTTCATTTTGAATCACTTGAAATTGGTCACTGCCACATGATTCACTCAAGTTCCTTGCAGATGAAATGTGTCCTTCTGCTCTGCCCCTTCCCGCATTATTCAGCTCTGACCTTCAGTGGCATTTAGCCACTCGCAACATTTACTTAAAATGGTACAATCCTGCTCATCAACAAAATGACTACCCGAGTCTTTTAATGACACTCACAGAGCTGGATAAGTGGCCATGAAGGAGGGGAGAAATCAAAGAGCTGGCAGGAGGAGAACAGGAGAGAGTTCTGAGGGAAGGAGGACAGATGGCAGATCACAGACAAAAGCAGAGATTTGAGGAGTTTTTTGGCCTTGTTTCCTCTGATCAGATGCATATGTTTGTGTTTTTTATTCTCTGTAATATTACAAAACAGATCTTCCCGAAAGTGTGTCTACTTTTGGCAAGTGTACATCTGCTCTAGACACTCCCTGCATATTTGGTGTAGTTTATGACTGTAGAGAATCAGGCATTTCGTCAGATTCTCCTTCCCCTCGGACAGAGCTTTGTTTGGGTCCAGGTAACAAATCTAACATGCTGTTGGTGAAAATCAATCAGATTCAACTAAACTCTAAGACGTAGGTCTTCTTCTAATCTTGTAGCTTTGTGCTATCCAAACAAGAAGAGGATGGGAGGCTCACTGCTGTTCATAGGACTGATGGTCATCGCAGCTTGCTCTCAGTCTCTCTGTGTAAGTACTCTGCAAAGTCAGGCTGTTGTGCTGATTTACAGTTGGTTCATTAATATTTCACTTACAAGCCACGGACTTCTTCTTGACACCATTTATGTGTGGTTATGCTAATGTGTTCCTATCATGTATTTTCTATCTGGAAATGTGTTATTGTGGCTGTAACTGTTGTTTACTTCATAAAACATTGTGTATAAGGTGCACTTTGAGCGGGCCTGTATTTCAAAAGAGGTGATTAGATCCATTTATTTACTTTACTTAGGCCTACGTACTTTATCAATTTTGCTTGGGGAATTTACCCTTTTCAAAGTTGCAAGACCAATTCCAGTGAATGTAAACTTTTCACACCACCTAACGTCCAAGCTCAGTGTCTGTTTAAATATGCATCCCGTTTTAGCAGCACTGGGGAGAGTTAACCATATCCTTACAGTGGTAGGGGTAATGCCTTTGTGTTTGTCACACTGAAAAACACAAGTAGTTGTTGTCATTTTACAGGAATAGCTTAACATAAAAAAAAACAGTTGCATGCAAAAGTTTGGACACTCCTGGTCAGGTTTTCTTTTACTGTGAGTAGTTAAGTAAGTAGAAGATGAGCTGATTTCCAAAAGGCATGAAGTTAAAGATGACACTCTTCTTCAACATTTTAAGCAAGATTACTTTTTTATTTCAATATTTTACAAGTTACAAAATAACACAAGGAAAAGGGCTTGAAGCAAAAGTTTGGGCACCTTGCATGGTCAGTATTTAGTATTGCCCCCTTTGGCAAGTATCATCGGACAAAGACAGGCTGGCTTTTTCCTCGTTTCCAGTCTTTATGCTAAGCTAAGTTAATCAGCTGCTGGTTCTAACTTCAAATTTGATGTGCAGTTGGCATCAATCTCATCCTCTAAGATGAAACATGCTTTTCAACATTTTAAGCAAGATCAGTGCATTATTTTTGTTTTGTACAATTCTAGAGTGAAAAAAAGGAGCAGCATGCAAAAGTTTGGCCAAGATGAAAGAATGGATTCAATTAAATTCCAGCAAAGTCTGGAAGTGAACATCACATCATCTGTAAAAAAGCTTCCTAACACTCTTTGTAACCAGCTAAGAGTCTTTCAATTCTTGTTTGGAGGATTTTCATCCATTCTTCATTGCAAAAGGCTTCTAGCTCTGTGAGATTCTGGCGCTGTCCTGCATGCACTGCTCTTTTGAGGTCTGTCTACAGACTGTGAGGAATATTGTAGAAACCTTCAGCTCACTCGTCTTGGAGTAGTCCATTGTGGATTTCGAGGTGTGTTAGGGATCACTGTCCTGTTGTAGAAGCCATCCTCTTTTCATCTTCAGCTTTTTTACAGATGGTGTGATGTTCACTTCCAGACTAAAGACTGGAAACGAGGAAAAAGCCAGCCTGTCTTTGTCCGATGGTAACTAAATCTGCCCGCTGTTTCCATTAGCTGCTTAGAAACAAATAAACTAGGCTAATTGGTAGGTGTCTCCTTATCTCATTTTTTTACTCCAACTTTTTTTTGTTAAAAGCAAAAATCACCTCAAGCGAGTATATTTTGCTGTTTCCATACAACTTAAAAACTTCAAAATGTGCATAAGAATAATCTTATGAAAACATGGCTACAGTAAGTCACTACTCTCAGCAAAGAAATAGCCCAGCACATAACCTCCATAAAACCACAACTTCACATTTTTACATATCTGGGTTTTGTATGAATAAAAAATATATTTACACTATGCATAATTTATCTCAGAGTTAGGGAATGGATCTGAGTGAATTATCACAAATTTAGCAATCCAAATGTGTGCGTAGGAGTCAGACAGTTGCCTTGAGGAGGTGGCTCGTCTGAGGGAAAAGGAGAAGCTTCTGAAAGTGAAGCTTGAGAAACAAAAACTCCTCCTACATAAACTACAACAGCTGGATCAACCTGGCAAGGAGGACACAGCCAAACCTGACCAGAGCCAAGACACCCAGTACACAGGTCAGGGTCGCAGCCTCAGGACTGCACAACAACATTTAAAAGCTTAAAATATCTTTCAAGTCTCGTATTGCAAAAAATACAGGAACAAGAGATGCACTGAATACAGAGTGTGTATTTGTGTGTGTGTGTGTGTGTGTGTGTGTGTGTGTGTGTGTGTGTGTGTGTGTTTGTGTCAGACTGCGCCCAGCTTTTCAGTTCTGGTTTCAGATCTAGTGGTGTCTACACAATCACTCCCCTCGGCAGCCCTGGCCCAGTCAGAGCCTACTGTGATATGAGCGATGGAGGTGGCTGGATCGTCATTCAAAGACGACTCGATGGAACAGAGAGGTTTAACAGGTGTGTCTGATGTCTGATAACTATAGTGTTCAATAATAGATCCAATTGAAAGTGATGCATTCTATCTATCTATCTATTCCAGAGCAAACTATTACTCAGCATTAATAGAAGACAATAAGAACAACCCCAGGTTTCTTTTCAGCACTGTAGCCAGGCTGACTGAGAGTCAAAGCTCTATTGAGCCTTGTATTCCTTTAGCCCTTAGCAGTAATGATTTTATGAGCTTTTTTAATGACAAAATTCTAACTATTAGAGGCAAAATTCATGACCTCCTGCCCTCAGATGGTAGGCCTACCTATCTAACCTCAAACACAGCTGTAGAATCTAATATATATTTAGATTGCTTCTCCCCAATTTCTCTTCAAGAATTGACCGCAGTGATTTCTTCATCTAAATCATCAACGTGTCTCTTAGACCCCATCCCAACTAGGCTACTTAAGGAGGTCTTTCCTTTAGTTAACACTCATATATTAGATATGATCAATATATCCCTATTAACAGGCTATGTACCACAGTCTTTTAAGGTAGCTGTAATTAAACCTCTCCTAAAAAAGCCCACCCTGGATCCAGAGGTGTTAGCCAACTATAGACCAATATCTAATCTTCCCTTTATGTCAAAGATCCTTGAGAAAGTAGTCGCAGACCAGCTGTGTGATTTTCTCCAGGATAATAATTTATTTGAGGAATTTCAGTCAGGATTTAGAGTGCATCATAGCACTGAGACAGCTCTAGTTAAAATTACAAATGACCTTCTGATTGCTTCAGACAAAGGACTCGTCTCTGTTCTTGTTTTATTAGATCTTAGTGCGGCGTTTGACACAATTGACCATCAAATTCTACTGCAGAGACTGGATCACTTAATTGGCCTAAAAGGTTCAGCACTAAGCTGGTTTAAATCTTATTTATCTGATCGTTTTCAATTTGTTGACGTTCGTAATGAATCATCCTTACGTACCAAAGTTTGTTTTGGAGTTCCGCAAGGTTCTGTGCTCGGACCAATCCTATTTACTCTATATATGCTTCCTTTAGGTAACATCATTAGAAATCACTCTATAAATTTCCATTGTTATGCGGATGATACACAGTTGTATTTATCGATGAAGCCAGAAGAAAGTAATCAATTAACTAAACTCCATAACTGCCTTAAAGACATAAAAAATTGGATGAGCACCAATTTCCTGATGTTAAATTCAGACAAAACTGAAGTTATTGTTCTTGGCCCCAAACAACTCAGAGACTCTTTATCTGATGACATAGTTTCTCTAGATGGCATTGCTCTGGCCTCTAGCACTACCGTAAGAAACCTCGGAGTAATATTTGATCAAGATTTGTCTTTTAATTCTCATTTAAAGCAAACCTCACGGACTGCATTTTTTCATCTGCGTAATATTGCGAAAATTAGGCCTATCCTGACCCGAAAAGATGCAGAAAAATTGGTCCACGCTTTTGTTACCTCAAGGCTGGATTACTGTAACTCTCTATTATCAGGTAGCTCTAGTAAGTCCTTAAAAACTCTCCAGCTAATTCAGAATGCAGCAGCACGTGTACTAACAGGAACTAAGAAACGAGATCATATTTCTCCTGTTTTAGCTTCTCTGCACTGGCTCCCTGTAAAATCCAGAATTGAATTTAAAATCCTACTGTTAACTTATAAAGCTCTAAATGGTCAAGCTCCGTCATATCTTAGAGAGCTCATAGTGCCATATTATCCCACCAGAACACTGCGCTCTGAGAACGCAGGGTTACTCGTGGTCCCTAAAGTCTCCAAAAGTAGATCAGGAGCCAGAGCCTTCAGCTATCAGGCTCCTCTCCTGTGGAATCATCTTCCTGTTACGGTCCGGGAGGCAGACACCGTCTCCACATTTAAGACTAGACTTAAGACTTTCCTCTTTGATAAAGCTTATAGTTAGGGCTGGCTCAGGCTTGCCCTGTACCAGCCCCTAGTTAGGCTGACTTAGGCCTAGTCTGCCGGAGGACCCCCCTATAATACACCGGGCACCTTCTCTCCTTCTCTCTCTCTCTCTCTCTCTCTCTCTCTCTCTCTCTCTCGTATTCTATTACTGCATCTTGCTAACTCGGCCATTCTGGATGTCACTAACTCGGCTTCTTCTCCGGAGCCTTTGTGCTCCACTGTCTCTCAGATTAACTCATATCACAGCGGTGCCTGGACAGCGTGACGTGTGTGGTTGTGCTGCTGCCGTGGTCCTGCCAGATGCCTCCTGCTGCTGCTGCCATCATTAGTCATTAGTCATACTTCTACTGTTATTATACACATATGACTATTGTCACACATGTATACTGCCAGATATTAATACATACTTTCAACATATTGTACCACAGTAGCCAGAACTATAACTATAATATTATTACTTTCAATAATGTTGTTGTAAGCTACTGTCATTACCTGCATCTCTCTCTCTCTCTCTCTCTCTCTCTCTCTCTCTCTCTGTCTCATTGTGTCATACGGATTACTGTTAATTTATTATGCTGATCTGTTCTGTATGACATCTATTGCACGTCTGTCCGTCCTGGAAGAGGGATCCCTCCTCAGTTGCTCTTCCTGAGGTTTCTACCGTTTTTTTCCCCGTTAAAGGGGTTTTTTGGGGAGTTTTTCCTTATCCGCTGCGAGGGTCATAAGGACAGAGGGATGTCGTATAAATATAAATAAATAAATAATTATAAATAAAATTGATTGATTGATTGATCGATCGATCTATCTATCTATCTATCTATCTATCAGGTCCTGGGCAGAGTACAAGGATGGTTTTGGAGATGTGGATGCAGAGTTTTGGCTCGGCAATGACAACCTGCATTACATCACCACACAAGGTCAACAGTGCTTCTTTTACAAAATGTTTTAATTCAAAGCTGTACTAATCAATATTCAATTACTGACAATAAACCAAGCAATAACAATAGTTTATTTTCCCTGGTATATGGCGGCTGATCTCGCTCTCTGCTCAGAGGATAAGGAGCTCCAGGCTCCCAATTTACAAACACTTTCGACGTCTGTTCTTCTTCTTTGAGTTAGCTGCTAATTGCTATCAGCTGCTTTTTACAGTAAATCTCCCTGGATGGGTTGCATACATACCACATTGTCAAAACATTACACCTGTTCCGCCCATGATCCCATCCTGCTGGATGTCCCTTTTATACAGAAGTCTTTCCAGGGCTATTACTTCCTCTAATGCCGTTTTAAAGGTGAGACAACTCTGTCCTCCCATTCTGCGTTTGTACCTTTTATACAGAACAGCTAGGAGGAATAACAGCGTGAAATTCCAGCCTTGAAAAGGCAGTGTAAAAGTGCTATAGTGACAGACCTCCAGAGAATTATCACCCATTCTTCTTGAGTTGATGGGACATGTGTTGTTTTTGTATTTTCAGAAGACTTTTATTTTTTGTCTGTTACAGGAAATTACTCACTGAGGATTATCCTGGGAGACTTTTATGGTTCCAAGCGCTATGCTGAGTACGAGAACTTCAAAGTGGCCAATGAAAAGGTGCTGATGCTGACTGACCACAAAAACTAAATATATTTTGAATTAGAATATTAGACTGAATATTTTGGGGGGCAAAGATTTACAAATATTTGAGTATCCTGAGGAAAGTAGTAAAGTAACTACCTAGTACATCTATCTTGTTTTCATCTGCTAATGTAAGATAGTTCCCCCCCTTCTCCCTCATGGAAAAAATTAAGGGAATCGTCACCATTCTGGGAAATTATTTGCTTTCTTGCTGAGAGTTAGATGAGAAGAATGATGCTACTCTAATGTCTGTACAGCCAGCAGCTGGTTAGCTTAGCTAAGCAAAAGCCTGGAAAAAGGGGGAAGTAGCTAGCATTGCTCTGTCCAAAGAAACCTCACACCTCTGAAACTCAACAATTTACACATTATACCTTTTTTCCCCCAAATCCCTTCAAAAACCAAAGTGTAGAGCAAGCTTCTCTTTTTTGGCCGGTCCAGTGACTCTCTATATATTCTCATATTTAGCATAGGTAACATGAGAGTGGTTATGACTTAATCATCGAACACTCCACAAGAAAGTAAATAAGTGTATTTTCCAAAATGTCAAACTGTTCCTTTATTTTTTAAGCAAGCAACTCTCCTCATATCTCTTTCTGCAGGATCACTACCGACTGACCTTTGGATCTTATGTAGGTACAGCTGGAGATGCTCTGTCTGGAAATTATGAGGTTGGTGTGTCACACTGGGCCAGTCACCAGAGCATCAAATTCAGCACCTATGACAAGGACAACGATAATTACGAAGGAAACTGTGCCCAGGAAGACAAAGGAGGCTGGTGGTTCAACAGGTACGAGTTTTGTGATACTAGTGGAGTGCCCATTCAAAATATGACTGCTTGAACCTGGCTGATTGGTGGCCTCTGGTTTGTTGCTACTTGCAGCTTTCTCGAGAACTGCTCATTCAAACAACTTCACACTTGACACTGCACTTCTTTGGGTCCTAAGCAATACACCTGCCATGACATGGTTGCATCCCCTGCGACCCTATGCTGGAGTATATGTGTCATTTGCTAAGAGCTAGCTACTTGGGACCAGGCTATTTCCAAATGTGAAGTTGATCGGATGAATGGTTGTCGAGAAATTTTAAGGACAGACATGATATGTACACATATTCAGCAAGATGGTCACAGTCATTCGTTGCAGTAAAAAATTACAAAATATTATTTCCTCTCCATTCTGTCTTTTCTTAGGTGTCACTCAGCCCATCTTAATGGCCTGTACTACTCCCGTGGGCACTATAGTGCGGTGACAGACGATGGTATAGTTTGGTACACTTGGAGAGGATGGTGGTACTCCCTGAAGACCAGCATCATGAAGCTGCGACCCACTGACTTCAAAGTTGATCCCATCAACGACCCTAATGCTGTCCAACGCAAACCACCTTCTTAGAGCAAACATGAGCAGATATTAAATCTTGGCTCAACTATTTTTGTCAGAAACAGCCTGGCAAATAGTATGAAAACATGTGAAATCATATTTCAAGCACAATAAATCATTAACTTCATTTTAACTTCTCAAATTCTCAAAACTTGTTCGCATACTAAGCACTAATCAACCCCACTGCATAGAAACCTGCTGAAGGAAGCGTTGATCTACTGCTAGATCACATAGCACCACTGTGCTAACTAACATTACATAACAATCAAGGGGGGCACTATAAATGTTTACATCTTGCGCAATCACGAGCACGAGCCTCTTGTCCATGAGTAGATGCTCACTTTCTTCTGCGTAGTGATATGGTTGGTGGGTGTAGTTTGGTAGAAAGATCTTACATGAAACTGCTGACAACAAGGTCTGTGGATTATCTTGAGTAATTGGGTCATGATTTCTGTAAAGAGACATTGCTGTTGACTTTTCAAAATGTATTTCTTGTGGTGTTTTGAGCACCACAAGCCGAGTGCCATCTAGTTCCATTACACTGGAGAAAGGACAGACATCTCTATGGCCGATATCTCCAGCACTCAGCAACTCACATCAACACAATCTAGACTGATAAATAGCACTACAGATAAGGGAGAATTGTAGCCTATTTTTGTTTTTGGGGTGAACTGTCTCTTTAACAATCCAGTGAAATCTTTGAAGACTTAAGTATCTTCTTCTTTAATATCTTCTATAGCAACATACTGACAGCTTTTTGCTTGACATGATTGTTGAAAGGGGAAGTAGCTTGTACTCACAGCTGTCTGTTTTTAGTTTGGTGGAGAAAAAGGAAATCTGATATCAGTGTGTGTGCCAGACACAGACAGAAACATTGGACAGAAGGCAGTGAAAGGAACCATTATCATGTCATTGTAAATGGCTGTAACAAGAACTGGATGTGTTCTTTTTTAATACAATGATATATGACACAAGGAGCAGCTGAGCGCTGGTAGTTTGCCCAAATGTTATGAAGATTAATATAAACTGTTTATGTATCACAAACTGCTATTACAGGAAAAACAAATAGGGCTACACAACAATAGTTATCTCTTAAGATGTTAGAAAGTGACATAAGATAGAAAAAAAATCATAAACACGTAGGATTGCTTTTAGGGTTTTATATGTGCTGTACTTCATCTCACACAGGTTATTATTTACAGCTCAGATTGTGAACAGAGTGTATCTGTCTGCCATTTACATTATAACCCTGATTCACCAAATAAAACAAAGAATCACATCCCCTTGTCCATTCAATTTTTTCATATCCTTGAATGAGCACCTTTAAGACCCGACCAATTGTAAATATTATTCAGTCAAGGATACCTGTACCTTGACCATAACCTTTTACACACTTTATGTATTACTGATCATGTGTTACCAGTTCTTAAAGCTCATATGGAGAAAAGATATAATGCTCAGAGCAGAGCCTCACTATATCATTTTTCAACAGTGTATGTAAAAGTAAACGTCACATTTCCCTCATATTGTGAAGGATTGATTTATGTTGCAAAGAAAATGTGTCACACCACATCCACGTCACAATTTAATGTCTCCCAGTTATTGTCTTGAAAGCATATCCATGCATGTCGCTGGTCCAAGATTGACATGAAATTGAATTTATCTGTCATATTGTCTCATCGACTGATGAAAAGTGATCTGCTGATCTGCTGATCTGCTGCCACTCGTTGATTTGATTATGAATCCAAAATCCTTCATATGACTTGGCTTGATACTTATAAAGGAAACTCCTTTTTGAATATTAAGCCTGTAAGGGTAGCTTTTAATTCTTATACATTTTGTTATGGCATGTCATGGTAAATCTATCGATAAACAAAATCAAGTTTTTATTGATCTTTTTTTTCTTGTTAGCTAATTGCTGATTGTTATAGTGGGACGAGTTACTGGCAAAGTGGGACAGCCCTTCCCTGTTTCTGTGTCCCTCATAAATTTAGCTACCCAGCTAGATTTTTCAACATGGACTCACTTAACACCTAGCAGTGATGAACATGTTTCATACATTGTCTCAAACAGCAAACAAAGCCTGCCCATGCATTATTTGTTCCATGACAAGTGGTGATGAGAATGGCCTCACTGAAGACAGGAAGGCTTTCTATTGCATGGCCTGTACTGACACAAAGACGAACCTACTATACGAAAAGCAGAAATCAAATTTAGCCTGTGAATTATCTATAAGTAGTACCAGTCATGAAGGTTCCTCTTTTTATATTTAAATATAATATTGTGAGGGGGGTGGGGGGTGAATCTGCTAAACAATGTGTTTTAAGTGTCTGTTTGCCAGTAAAGGTGTCCCACTTTGACAGTATCATCATGTAAAATGTGTTTTTGTGTTGCTATTTGTTTAAGGAAGAGGTTTCTTTCTTTTTTCTTCAGTGTAGTATAGTAGAGGTCTTCAGTTATTTAGAGTAGTATCATATGAGAGGCTAAGAAATTTGGATCACAATTTAAAATGACAGAAAGTAAATTATCAACAAGTGTCCCAGTATTACCAGTATTCACCTGTGAAGTTATCTGAAGTGAATATGACTAAAACATAATTTGTCATTACTGTTAAAAACATTATTTGTATGTATTCTTCATGACACCTTTCTACCACAACACAGGGAACAGACTATTCATAATGTCAGACAGCAGTGTGTTTAGTCAATGTTTTTTTCATCCAGACACTTAATTTATAATAAAGAGGTATACAACATTTTTTTTTCGAGAAAACAACATGTCAGAGGTAGTTAAAGTCCATTCATTGCTTCCAGAGTGCAAAGTAAATGTACGTCCTTTAAAACAGTCATCTTCTAATGAGGTGCCATACTGCTTCAGCTCAACAATAAACCGCTTAAAGTAGGTTTTGGAGTCAGACCATTTCGATTTATGGATATGGAATTTACTAAGAATGACCAGAGGCTGAATAATATAGATAATATTACCATCCATCCCACGGAACACAAAATATAACATCAGTGCCATTTTCCTGTTTATGTATCCAAAATAAACTTGCATGCTCACAGTGAAAGAACAAAAGCACATGTATAATCTATATTTAGCTTAAATCTTTCCTCCTTTTCTCGGTAAATGTACATTTTTGAAGGACATTTCTTTCACTTTAGCATTGATACTATATTTGTTTAAAATAACAGGCTTTTCCCCCACTGTAAATCACCCATGAAAGAAGATCAAAAGAATTTTGCTGCAGGTGTAACACAGTCCTTACTATTTCTGATGTGTCTGATTCCACATGGTTTATTTAGAATATCAGTATTTTTCCGATAAAAAATATGCTCAGAGCTGATAATTTTCATTTCTGTAAGATCACAACTCTTTAAAATATAATCAAAAATAATAACATGTTTTGGTGTAACTGGTTTATTGAAGTCAATGTGCTATTGTCTGAAAGAAAAAACAATCTTCAGAGAAACGAGGCATGATCCTTTACCTCGGTGTACGCATGATTATTATCCATCGCTGCCTGGTTGGTCGGTATTTGCCCCAGTGCATCTATAGCAACGTTCAAACAAAAAACCCGCCCGGTCGGGCTGTCCTGATTACAAAAACAGGCGCACCGTCGGTGGTTAACACAGGCGCTGATTGGCTGACACCCTTTCAACGTTCAGAGAGAGATTGTCAGTCAGCTGGAGCTCGAGGAAAATAACAGTTGCTTGTTTTTATCCGGTGCGATTTTTGACCTGATATACTTTGTCGTTGCGTTAATAATACTTTTAATTCGCGTTCGCAAAGCTTTCGACACACTGTCTTACAGAGAGGACAGCGAGAATGTAGTGTTGTTATCGCACACCTTTTTTCAACGATAACGTTAGGTGAGTAAGCTAATGTTAGCTGATGTTAAATTGGTTACTTAGCAGGCAGGCTAGTTAGCTAGCTGTCGGTGTTGCAGTTGGTTTAGTTGTCAAACCACACCGCAGTACGAGAGTATTTGCTGGCTTTTACTTGTATGTCACGTATTTTCGTCTTACAGCAGGCTACAGTAACTTACACTGGCTTTCCAGTTGAGCTTTCTGCTAGCCCAGTTGATTAGCAACAGTCACTAAGCTACCTTTCCACCTATTTGTCTCCAAGGTGACGGTGGATGTTGCTACATCTATCCCATCACCCCGGGTCTCTCTCCGTCTGCTCTCCGGGCGACTGGCAGCTCCTGTCGCCTATTTCCAGCCGTGCCTGGTGCCCCGTGCTTTTGTGTGGAGTACCGTGCTGTGGATGACTAAGCTGACGGGGCTCCGTGGCTGTTGTGGCTGCCGGGCGGGCCGATGCTAGGAACGTGGAAAACATAGCGGTGCAGGTCGGTGAGGAGATGTCAGAGCGGGGATGCCTCTTCTTGGAGACAGTGTTGTAGTCGAGGGTATACACGAGTGTACACAGTATACCTCCCTCTCTGACTTGGCGTACAGACCAGCTGACCAACTTTTCAGCCAAACTCGTAGTGACACATATATGGATGGTGGGGTCGCAGCATGCCCACCCCCTCAACTACCACTACACCACTGGCCGGAGGGAGTAGCAGTAACGGAGGAGAAGAGGAGCCCATGTCTGCCACCTCCACCTCTTCTATCGGCTCCTCTTTCCGGTTCATCCCGGCTTTCTGCCTGGGCGTGGTGGCAGCAGTAGTGTTTCAGCTGGCCTGGGGAGGCCTGACTCTCACCTCTTTCTTCTTGAAGTTGTTCATCTATGTGTCCTTCGCCCTCCTGTGTTTCCTGGCTGGGAGTTTTGTTCTGCTAGTCAGGAAAAGTCCTCTCAAGGTCAGCTGCTTTGACAGAACCAGAAGGCAGTCAGCAATACAACTGGGGTTCTTCAACAAGCTCATGGTAAGATGCTGGGCTCTCTCAGTTTAAACTCATTGATGACATGCAGTACTCCTCTTGCAATCCACACACACTCTACCAGCTCTTTCTGATGTTACATTAGCATTACACTATGAGTTATAACCAACTGATGGAATCCACTGATAGAGAGAAAAACTGCCAAATTCTACTCTAATGGCACTTCTGTCTAACCTTTACTCTAACAGACTGGAGCACATGTAAACATGTTGATCAGACACATCTGATCCTAATATTTTAATTTTTGCATCCGTCTCAACTGCTTCATCCTTTCCCCCCTAAATTATCTCCCTCTCCTCCCCCATCTTTCTCCCCTCTCTCATCTTCTCGTTCTGCCCCCTGGATCCTCATTGTGTTGTTCTATAATAGATGAGGTGGAGTCATGCTGCTGGTTTTTAGACACACTTAAATGCACACACACACACACACACACACACACACAGATATATGGTGATTT